AAAAAAAAACAAATAAATTCAAATATTTAACCATCCATATCGTCTTGAGTGTAACAGACAACGAATTTAAATCAGTATATATGTTGTGCCTCAGATTAATGCTTGCGTCAGATGTTGCTTTGCCTGAGTTAGAGTTAGGATTGGGCTATAGTTTAGGCTGATCTGTTAGTTCTGGTCAAATAATTATTATTTAGTTGACATCTAACGCAAGTGTTAATCTGAGGCACAACATATAAGTTCGGTTTCGCTTGGTTTTGTGCTTCTTTTGGAATTCTAACAAGTTCATAATTTCTTAACATTTAAAAACTGTTAGTTAATAAATTATATTCGGATTGTTTAAGTATAAAGACAAGAAATAATTTTTTATCATTATAAAAAAACTTCTCATTTTCGATAATTACTTGTGATTTGATAAAGAGCGAGCTCGTTGCTCAAGGGTTCCAATGTCATAGAAAACGAAGACACCAACAATAACGAATTATATAAATAAAGACGAAAAAAAAAATTTAAAAAAAAATACAAAAAAAATACAAAAAAAAAAAAAATAAAATAAAATAAAATAAATAAACATACCAAGGTTTTTTTATCTAGCGCCAATAAAACGGTTTCTTATTTCTTTTTCTTGTTTTGATTCATGTCTCAGAATTTATATGTATGCAAGAGCATTATTAAAATTTCATCATCGCGGCTTAGACATGGCCGCTCAGGCGAGGTTCTTTTATCTTCTCTATATTATCTTTTTTTGTTTATTAGAGCCTCAAAGGACTCAAGTTGGAAGGTGAAAAAGAGAAGAGATTTTAGACAAAATACACCTCCCACATATCTCTTATTGGTCCGTCAAAAGAGCTACGAGAGAAAAGACGGGCTATTTGAGGTAACGCTGCCAAGCGAACATCAAAGAACTCGAGAAAACAGCCGTTTGCTTGTAAAAACAGCATGTCTCCCGAGGGTTGCTGGTTACGCGGAGGTAAGCCAGCAAAACAGTACAAAGACTGTATTGTTTACATTCTGGAAAATCCGTGTGTTTAATATTAGATCATAAAAATCTACCCGTGATCATTAACCAATCAATTTGCATAACGATCGGATAAAAGTGATAGTATTTATTAATACAGCCAAACTTATTAATATTACGATTGGCAAGAACAGAACAATATTCAAGTATTAAACCCCGGATCTGCTCCAAACTAATAGTCAGTATCGCATTTTCGCAAAATAACAAGGATGTAATTTCGGATTTTGGGCTAAATTATACGGTAATAAAAATTTATTTAAATCTAATAAGGCTGTTACCCCATTCAACAGTATAATTTGATATAGTCTAATAAATGATAAAGTTTTCGGGTGTTTGATCTTTTTTTGATTATTTTGCACAATGAACGTTAACACTTCGTTGAAAATATAAACGATGCCTGTTGTGATTTTTTGATTAGTGAAACGTTGCGTTCTTAAAAGTATTTTAAAAGTATTTATAAATAAGTTACCCGAACATAGCCCCAGAGGTTTCTAGAATTACGTATGCATTAATTTGTGCAGCAAGTTCACAAGCACAGAAGATATTTCATTTTTCGCACAAACTATTTACACTAGTCAATCAAATAAATTTCTTTCTATGAGATTTTTTTTACTACTAAAGAGCTTGTACCTATTTCAAATTTTAGTTCTAACATAATAAAGCAGTCTTAGACGAAAACGCTTCGGTTAACTTCACTTTACGGTATAATTTTGTAAGGTCCAATTTTTTTCTTTTAAGCAAAGCCCGTCAGGAGTGAGATCTTTTGAAATGCTTTTTGCATAATTAATATTGACAATGAATATTGACATATCGATAGTACTCCAAAGCTACAGATGGTCTTTGCGATAATTTTTTGTTAGTGAAAGGTTTTGTTCTGAAAAATATTTTAAACCATATAAACAAGTTACTCTTACCCAGGCAATTGATTTTACCGATCAGATAGATTTTAACCATGCTATAAGGCCGTTGTAAATACTTCTGTTATCATATCGCGCAAATTTCTTACCCAGACAATTGATTTGCACTAGCCAATTGAATATCCTATAAGAATTTCAGGTTTCATTCAGACTGTCTCGGAATCTTAATATTCCTTTTTTTGGTTATATATCTCTTTTTTTTTTATTTTTTAATGCTTATCTTAACAATTGTTTTAATCCATGTCAAAAAGTTTCCGAGTAAAACAAAAAAAAAAGAATACAAAAAGGAAAAAGAAAAAAGGAAAGAAAAAACCTAGAGAAAGAAACTACATAATCAATAAACTAATCTTTATATGAAATAATAATAATTTACATAATTAATATGAGCAACATGATCAATGATTACTCCTGGATAATATCGTTATCAGGTAGAATGTAGGTAACATTGTGTTAACTTCATCTATATTCTACCTGATAACTATTAAATAATAAGCTTTTAGTTTTTTAAAAATAATTAATTTTATAAGGTTAAAAATAAAGTTAACTTTATTTATAAAAATGCAGTAAACTCTATAACAATAAATTCAATTCTATTTATAAAAATAAAATACCGTATTTCTGCGACATGTGTACCCCTCTGTTGGATGCCAAATCTTGATTTATACCCGGGTATATAAGTATGAGGATATCATACTTATATACCCGGGCATTTTAATGGTAAAACATATTATATACATAGAAGTATTCATACGGTGTATCCCCCATACGAGTACTCGGGTACATAGTTCGAGGTAGGAACGTCCCGAGTGCCCCGATTTT